AAAGCCGAAACTGGCCCCCCGATTCACCCGCTGCTGAAACTGACCAGCGGCTGACTACAGGAAGCCCGAGGCAGAGTTGCTCTGCCCCGGGTTTCCTGGAATCAGCTGCTGATCAGTTTGAGCAGCAGCTGACTTGGGGACGCCTGGGGTTCTTAAGTTGAATCTGTATGTAAGTCAGAACTGGTGTCCAGATTCAGCCGCTGTTGAAACTGATCAGTTTCAGCAGCGGCTGAATCTGGATGCCAGTTCCGACTTACATACAGATTCAACTTAAGAACAAACCTACAGTCCCTATCTTGTACGTAACCCGGGGACTGCCTGTAATTCAGTTATGCAATGGAAGTGGCATGGATCACTATGACAAAGTCTGCCTGCATCTGAATGAAAAGTCTCTGTAACATACGTGCCATACCACAGCCACTTGGAAAAGGAGCTTAGTGGCTCTATTCCTGGCATCTTTAGGGGAAAAGTGAGGCACAAATCCAGTTCATAGTCTCTTTCCTTCCTCTAATTTTGTAGCAGCATGTAGGTAGAAGGAGACAATGTGAAATAGCCAATGCACTCTCCTTACTCCTGGCATTGTGTCTGAGGAGGAGGACAGTGAGGCAATTGAATTTTTCTTCTCTCCTATCCCCACAGTTCTCAGGTTCCTCTGCAAGGTCTGTCTTTCAGTTGATCCCTCTGAATAATCATTTCAACTGAAGTGACAATATCTTGCTTCTAGCTGAGTTCGTTGCAGAGTCAGCAGAATGCTAAACAGGGGTCTTTACCCACTCTGCCCAGCTTCATGTTCTCAGGCCACTAGGTGAGACAGGAGTAGTTTTTCATAGGGTCCAATACATTGCACAGCCAAATAGAAGAATTCTACTGTTGTTTTATTTTTTGCATTGATATTTTCCTTTTAGGCAAAATTTAGTATCTTTTCAGTTTGTTTTTTGGAATTGTGTGTCTTTTTAATTAAGTTAACTGTTCTTTTGTAGGCTACAAATGTTAGATCACTTTGCTGAATGCGTCAAACAGGCTAAAGGTGTCCGCCAACAAGCTGTGCAGCTTAATATCTTCACTGCTGTTCTCAGCGCATTGAAGGTAAAAATGGTTTAAAATTTGTAACCAGCAGATAGTAAAATTCTGAGATTTATGGACTTTTATATAAATGTTAAATACACAAAAACTGTGTTTAAAAGATCATTATTAAGATTGCAAAGTCAAGCACTCCAGAATTAGGCAAAACCAGAATTAAGGTTGCCTTTTCATTCTTAATCGGCCCCCCTTGTGCATGTGTGCTATAATTTGAGGGGGAAGGGTAGGGGCAAAGGGTGGGAAGGTGTTTTCCCCTAAAAACAACTTGATTCTTTTTCTGAGAGTTCATAGTATATTTCTTGTGCTTGGGGACCAAACAAGCTCCTGTTGTCATCCAGCATTTTCAGTCCCATCCAGTGTGTCAAGATGTGATTTTGCTGCTTCCTTGATTAGAAAAAGAAAAACACCTTCAACATTTTCTTTCTATAGCTAAAATGTCCTTTAATTGAGTGACTGTTGCAATATCACATAGTAGCATACCACTTAAAAATGTTAGCTTTCCAGTCTGATGTAAATGGATCCCATGGTGAGGGGAGAGAATAAAAGCCTCCCCGCCTAAGTGTCTTAGCTAAAGGTAACTCTAATTTAATAGGGGTGTATGTGTGTCCATGTTTGTATAATTATAGTATACATATATAATGGTGTTTTTTACTGTGACAGTAATGACAATGTAGGTTGATGTGTTGACTCCCCTCTTTTGTGAGTTGGGTAGGATGCCAGCAAAATGAGACTTCCATTTTCACTCCTTCGATTCAGCTAGCTCTAGCCCTTTTGTGTGTCATGCCCAATTTGTATCTTGCCTTCAGAGAGGTCAGTGGCAACTGTGGTAGCCAGGCTGTCTTGGTGGGCCATCTTTGGTTTTTCTTCAACAGCCTTTTCCTTTTAGGGTATGTTTACAGGTTGGGGTATGCTTCTTATTAAGTTAGCACGAGTGTGTGCACACAAGCAGAGGAATCACACTTGTAGAGCAAAGTTACTTTTAATTTTAATTTGTTAATTATTGCTTTTCTGCTCTGAGAAAATAATTTCCCTCCTTCACATGGAGTGCTAGGATGAGAAGAGCCATGGATACCCTTAATGCAGTGGTCATGTTGTATTTAATTTCTCATGACTGCTCTGTGAGTTCTGCCATTCTGTCTCAAGCCCATGCAGAACGCTTGTTTTCACAGTTCTTCAAAGGAGTGGACCGCAGCAGTGGGGGTACAGAAGGATTCTGAGGGGACATGTTCCAGAGGTGCTGAGAGGAAGATAAACAGTTTTCAAATGAAATATTTTTCTTGTTCCCACAGATGATCCACTGCCAATAAACTTGAAACTTTCCTTCTAAGGATAACAGAATTGCTTTACTGATCTCTTTGGCCTTCTCCTGCTGGGATTCTCTCTCCCTACCCCACACATTTTAAATTGTTGTGGTGTATTGGTTTCGATGCCATAGCCTGAATAGTCAGTTCATTTTCTTCAGGATCCAGTGACCTTTTTGCCAGAGGCATGGGAAATCATACCTTACTTGTTCCTCTGACAGTGCACACCCCCTGTCTATCTTCTGGTACAGAATAGACTTTGCCCAGAATACCTTGAAGATGACAGCCAGCTTCATCAGTTAATTAATAGTGACCCCCAAAAGTTCACTGATTTGGGCACATAGTCTTTTTCAGACAGGATAAAATTAATTATTAGTCTCCTTTAAAGCCAGCTGTTGGAAGACTAATTGGATCCAGCATTATAAGTCAGTTTAGACCAGAAGAAAATTCTAGGAGCCTGATTTCCTTTTTTCTTCATTTCAAGGGCTATTGCTCTAGCAGTTCTTCCAGACAGTGTTCAGATATTTGTGTTTGCAAGACTGCCGTTATGGAACCAGAGCCTAGCAGTGTTTATGGGCTGTTGCCTTGCTTGTTTGATCTGTGGGTAGAGCCAATTCAGCAAGTTTATAGTTGGAACTGGCTCATGGAAAACAGTTATCAAAGAAGTTTGGTTTTGGAAGAAACTAGGTGTTTTGCTTTTTTGGGCAGAGGCATAAAATTGTTTTGGTGTCAATGGAGTGTTCACATAGTCTTCTTTTTGTCCGTTTGTTTGTATGAACCCATAACGTTAGTTTAGTATTTAAAAAAAGAGAGAGAAAACCCTTTAAATCCCATGTAGTGATTGCCACCCTTTAGGAAACAGGCAGAAAAGTAGAAATGAAATCCCTTTCCCAAGATGTAAGATTATGTCCTTCCGTGCATAAAACCATCACTTAAAAATTATGTAGCTTATCTGATTTGTGAATTATCTTCTTGTAAAAATACCAGTTTAAACGGTTTCAAATTTGATTTCAGCAACAGACATCAAAACATACTTTTATTCCTTTTGGTCAAACATTTGTCCCATTTGTTCATACAGGGTTTAGCTGAGAATAAAAGCACATTAGGACCAGAAGAAGTTCGCAAATCTGCTTTGACATTGGTTATGGGTGCCCTTGACAATCCTAATCCCATTTTGAGATGTGCAGCAGGAGAGGCACTTGGCAGAATGGCTCAGGTAGTTGGAGAAGCAACTTTCATCGCCAGAATGGCTCAGTACAGTTTTGACAAGTAAGTTGTTGTCATTTTGCTCCAAAAAAGAAAATAAAAATAGAATTCAAACATGTTCAGAAAATGTTCATGTTCAGAATATGATATTGCTAGTTTTAAATATATTTCCTTCATGCCTGACCACTTTGGTAGGCCTAATACAGTTTACAGATCCTGAGTTGTTCCGTGTACTGTTATTAAGAGTGAACAATGACTGATTGAAATGCTTAAAATCCAGAACAATATTGATGAATAGTTCTTGGCGTGGTTAAGGATGACAAAACGGCTTCAGATAAAATAAACATGGCTGACTCTAAAAATGTGTAATGTGTGTGGTGGGAAGGGAGAGTTACCCCAGGCTGATGTGGTAGCTTTGTGTTATCAACACCTCCTGTCGTCATCTAGGATTTGGCTCCTCTGTTGGCTCACAGTGACTTGCTTCCTTACTCCAACTGACTCTCCATCAATAATTAGGCTTTCAAAGATCTTCATGTACTAAAGATTCAGAAAGATCAGCATGTCCAATTTTTCCTCAGATGAGCACATGAACTATACCTTTAAAACTGAAATTGGTCTTCTGATGATCCAGTTATGTTACATTCAGCTTCCTTTTTATGAATGGCATTAACTTGTTCATGTCTAAAAGGATAAATAATCTTTTTGTTTGTTTTCAGAAGTGCATAACTATTTGCAACCTTTCTACTGAGTTTAACCATTTAGTGGCATTTTGTTTGTGAAATAATTAGTTTCTCCAGTGATGCCATTTCAAGGCAAGGCTCTGTTTCTATCATAAATAAGGCAAAAGTTACCTAAAATTATACCTCTGGATCTCAGCAACTGTAAGGGAGAGCTCTAATTCTTTTTGCTTTCACTTAGTTTCCCACATGCTCTTATGTTGTGTTTATAGGTTAGAGTTTTTCTAAAGGAATAAAATGAACAGATCTCTTAAGAGCAATTCTTAAGAGATCTGTTCATATATTAAGCATTTTTCAAGATTTTAAATATTCAGAATTAGAAATTGTTACCCCAAAAATAGTCTCACTGGAGACCACCCAGGGTTACACTAGTATGGGTTTATTTCCACTAGGTAAAACTAAAGAGGAGAAAGCAGCCACCAAAGGTTTAAGCTAAAGAAGATAGAACTCTCTCTCTCTCTCTCTCTCTCTCTCTCTCTCTCTCTCAGATATGCAAGCAAGCACACACCCCTCCATTCATTCACTCATTCACACCCATTTATTCCTGCCCTCAGGCAATCACACTCTTACACAGGGTTGCAGAAGGAGCCAAGGCATGTGGATCCTGGAGGGTCTGTCTGCTCATCATGGCTGGGGAAGCTGGTCAGGAGGAGAGACACTGAAGAGAAGCTTCTCTGGATCAGGGGAAGGAAAAAGAGAGCATCTCACATGTGCTCCTTCTCTTTATATAGTGTCTGAATGGCTCCTGTGACTCATTCACCTTGTCATCAGGGAGCATGCCCAGACTTCCCTTTATCCAGCAGGGAGCATACCCGTACTGTGATGAGTCATTGCCATGTGGTCCATTGTTCCAAGCCTTCTTCAAACACACTCACACCCTCTATCCATTCACTCAGGGGAGAATGCAGCTTAGGGAAAGTTACAAGCAAGGTGGCTGCATGTTACAAAGATTACAAAGTTACAGTTTACAGTAAGTTTGAGAGTTGCACAGATTACAAAGATTGACAAGGATCACAATAAGTTGCAGTTTAAAACCTTAGACCTTACAGTTTGGTGTAGCGTTAGAAAATCCATGTATATAAATCTAGTGTGCTCAGGTGGAGGCTTTTTTATGCAACAGAAATTGTTTATTGTAAAACAGAGGCTTGTAAGACTTCATTTGTTCCCTTGATAACCCATGAATTTCCAAGGACTGCTGTGGTTTTGTCCATAATTTCTCCTCCAAGATCCATTTTATTGAATAAATTCTTCAATCTGTCCAGTCTGACACTCTCTGGTCTGGCAACATCTGTGATCCAACATGATTTTAGTTAGCTGGATGTCCATTTATAATGAGTGTGGCCATATTACCCACGCTCCCATAATATTTGTTTATAGCCAACAGTCCTGGTTGTCAGTGTTCTATGCTGTTATTTAACTCTAATTTACCCCTCAATGTCTTCTAAGAGCCCAGGAAGTAGTGGAAGTGTTGGTTATGCTGCTAGACAATATTAATCTCCTGTGGTTTGGCAAATTCTCTGATTCTGCACCAGTCAGGTTCCGAGCATGCCGGACTGAAGAGGTTCAACCTATACTTTTTGTAGGCCTTTTATTATTTGTTAATATATGTTTGCGTACAGCCTATGGTTCTAAACTATTAAATACTGAAAGAAGAGAAATTACCCTTCACTTTCTTCTTTAAGGATATTCATTCTCTGACTACTGCAGAACAACTGTAGCGCACAGCCTAATCTATAATATATAAAGGAGAATGTTTGTATGTTTGTGCGCTAATAACTTGGACACTATAAGAGCTACTGCAACCAAACTTTGCATGGGATAACCTTTCATCCAGGAGAAGGTTTTAAGGTACTATGGGAGGGAAGAGATGAGAGACCAACACCTCTCCCCGGGGCTGCACGGAGCTTGTCAGTGTGGAGAGAAGCGGCTTCCCAGAGGAAGCAGTGGGGACAGTCACTCACTAAGGCCAGCGGAGGGACAAGTAAGCGGAGGGTGGGCTCGGGCGCTGGTGACAGGCATGCAGCTCCCTTCCCCCTACCTCTCCTCAGGCTCCTCACCTCAGTTATATCAGTTTTCTCGAGCAATGCCGGGTAACTGCAGCTAGTTATTTATAGTTGTCACAGCTGTAGTAGACGGGGCTAAAATCTGGCCAAGCATCCATAAGAAAACTTATATCACTACTTACGTAATCCCCAATTCAGAGTCTTGCAATGTTCCCTTGTGTTTCTTGGCATCACACAATTTTTGAATAAAAGTTTATTTTTTTTAAAAACTTCATAATGAAACTTATTGCAGTGAGAAACAGTTGGATCTAAAAAGATTTAAAAGTGAGCTGGCACTATTTCAGAGGATTCAGCTGCACTCCCTTCAGTCCTCCAATAAGTCTCTTTATATTTCCATTCTTGATTGTTTTAAGCTTTGCAGTAATTTAGCAATGAGTTTTCTGGATAACAGTGTTCAATGGTCTGCAACGTTCAGAAAAGAGATGGTTTAAGCGAATCATGTCCTTTCAGTTATAAAAATATTGCTTATCTAAAATGTCGGAAACAAATACTTCTCAGAAGAAAGGAATTACAGTAAAATCAGAATAACTTTACAAGCTATTGAATATGAGGAGTTAATAATAAATTATTAAATATTTTCCTTTGATTTTTTTTTTCAATGATATCTTCCCAGAAAGTTTGCATTCTTATTTATTTATTTATTTATTTTTAAAGGTAACAAATAGTACTGTTGGGAACTGAGGTTTTGTTTTTCTTATACTCAGACAATCATTTCCTTAGTATCTAGCACATACTTTGATTTGTGTTTTACTGTTGATAGGTTAAAATCTGCTCGAGATGTTGTGTCAAGAACTGGTCATTCATTGGCTCTTGGCTGTCTCCATCGTTATGTGGGTGGCATAGGTTCTGGGCAGCATCTGAAAACCAGTGTCAGTATTCTGTTGGCACTGGCACAAGATGGAACCTCACCTGAAGTCCAGGTAAATAAAAAAGAATTTAAAAACCATTTTGTGGGTTTACGATTAATGTATTACCATTAACAGCAAAAAAATGCTGTACAAAAGTAAAAATAGTTAGGCCATACACCAAAGAGTGTAAATATAAATGGGAGAGGAAGATCTTGTTTGCTGTAAATAGTTTCTTTAGGGACTTTGTAGTGCAGTGTGCTGAGCAACAAACTAACCTGATTTAGAATAGTTACTTTAGACAAATGCCTAATTATGCTCAGTCATCTCAAGATGTAAAGAAATTACTCCATTTTATAGAACAATGAATTAAAATCAGTTATCAGATAGTTGAGAAGAAAAATGCATTAAAAGTTAAAGTAGTATCTTAAAGGAATGTAGATGCATTCATGATCCCTTGGCAATGAATTCTACAAAGTCAGTTAAATAGAATAGTAAAAGACCCTCTGGAGCAAGATAGAAAGAAAAATTACCGTACTTGTTAGGGATGTTAAAAGACATTTAATAAGGTTACCGTGTAACTGAAAAATCTTAGCAGTTACATGTTTTTTTGGGGGGGGGAGGAGGGCTCTGCAGAATAAAGCTTAAATTAGCTTCACACTGCAGAGCCAACAGCGAAGCCTCCCCAGAAGCAGGGCCACCAGCCTCTGTTAGCTCTGCTCTTGCAGAGGAGTCTTTGCTGCCACAGTGAATCCGCCTCCCCAGGGGCGGGGCAGAGTTTAAGTGATAGCATTAACCAATGAGCATCAGCTTATCGGTTAATCAGTTAAACTTTAACATCCCTATTATCTATAAATATTATTCTCAAAAGATTGTGTAACTATGCCATATATCAGGAGACTTTTTCATTCTTTTTTCCCTATTACTCCAAAAGAAATTATTATTTGAAGTAGCACCTGGCTATTGTGACTCATCAGCAGAGGGTCGTCTCATCCCCAGGAAGAGGCAGTTTAATGTCACAGAATTTTGAGTTCCTAGTGCTTCCTCAGTCTCCTGGAGCCACAGGCCACCCATGTCTTGTTTAATTATTAACCGTAGAGAACTTGGACTAGAGGTAATCCTCTTTCTGAGGAGACAGGATTGATATAAGTTTTTCTAAACATAGCTTGCCACTTGAAAAAACAAGATATGCTTTGTTTAGTGATAGGTTTAGTAATACAACCAATTCTCTTAAATTTCCTTACTTAAGCTCTCAAAAGTTAGATATTGACAAAGTTCAGGTTACAGTTGCAATATTATTTCTGCTGTTTCTGTGAATTCATCGTGGTAGTCTTTAAACAAAGGCTCACATAGTATTTCACAAAAAAAGCAATCATTTTTAGCACAGTATAAAAAGATAGAGGGAGAAATTTAGGTGCCTAATCCTCATTAACTTTAAATGGAAGTTAGGCACCTAATACTTCTGTTTGAGCCTTTGATATCCTCCCCTAAATAAGTAGAAATATACTGAAGTGTTAAAATAAATAGAGAGAAAAATGTTACAAGGTGCAACATTAGTAGTTAACGTTATAGAATGAGTGTTATGTATTTGAGAAAGATGATGTGATTATGTAATTAAACTAGAGGAGTAGAATAAACATACTATGTGTGCCTGTGTGTTTAGATATTGACAAAGTTCACTTTACGTTTGCAGTATTATTTCACCTGTTTCTGTTAATGCATCATGGTGATCTTTAAACTGTTCAACCTCAACATCTACTTACAATAACCCTTTTTCTTTTTATGAAACTTCCCACATTTTTGGGGGCATGGGGGAGAAAAAGTCATAATGTAAAGTTATTTTGGTAGATGCCACTGGAACTCTCAATCCTGCATACTTTGCAGCCTATAGGAGAGGGAATCCATTTCCTGTGCACATTAGTTGCCCTGAAACTTTTTCCCTGAAAGCTTGTTGAATGTGAGACAAAGGCATCTGGCCTCATTCATAGTGTGATCAGTGATCAGTGACTGACTGAGGCCAGGACTCTTCCCTTCACAACCTTTTTCCAGTGCAGCTCAGTTAACTACATGTGAGTAGTATGGCCTTTCCTAGCTGCACTTTTAAGAACTTAGAAAGAAAATTCAGTGCAAAATGTACTTTATATATAAACTGAGAATTTCGATTGGCCATAACTTTATCAAATGAAAACCTGTTTCCAGTGGCTCAGGTATTTCTCTTTGGGTATTCTACACTGAAACACTATTTTGAAATAACTAGCACTATTCTGAAATAATGTAGTCTGTGTCTACACAGCAGGCAGTTATTTCAAAATAGTGTTAATATCCTGTGAAGCTGGAGGACTTCTTACTCTGACTCCTGTAACCCTCATTGTATGAGGAATAAGGGAAGTTGGAGGAAGAGTGCTCTATTTTGAAATAAGCGCTGGGTAGATGCTCCCGATTTCAAAATAAGATATGCAATTGACATAGCTCAATTTGAGCAGCTTATTTCGAGTTAAACCCGACAGTGTAGACACACCTTTTGAGGGCCATTTCTGTATCTAATTTCAACTTTTTACCACAGTTTAGGCTTCAGAATGATTAAAAAAGTCACATTTTTTTTATGTAGTTGGAAAAGTACATACATCTTTTTCATCTCGTTCTCAAACAGGTTAGCCATTTTTATTCAAAAAAACTAACAAAAATTCTCCTGCAGACAAAGACCAAAGCTGGAAAATTTCAGGCTAGAAGTCAATGTTCCAGATTGTGGGGTGGCAGATATTCTTAAAAACAGAGGGTTAAAATTGAAATGTTTAGACAAGATGGTCAGAGTCATATCCACTATAAATAAATTCTTAAAACTCTAAACAAACTTTTATGACTGAAACCCAAACATCTCTTTGATTTATTATAGACCTGGTCTCTCCATTCACTTGCCTTGATAGTGGACTCTAGTGGGCCAATGTACCGGGGATATGTGGAGCCTACTCTGTCTCTAGTTCTTACCCTACTCTTGACAGTTCCACCATCACATACAGAAGTGCATCAGTGTTTGGGCCGATGTCTTGGAGCTATAATAACTACAGTTGGCCCTGAGCTGCAAGGCAAGTTATAATCTAAAATTGCATTAAGATACAGTTAAGATTATCTATAGGATAGATGCTGTTTTTTTTCTTAATGTCAGCTGGCAGTTTAGTATTGTATGGTGGCAGATAATGAGACATCTGTGATTAGCATGTAGGCTTTGTAGATCTGCATCTTCACTGTGTGTATTGATGGTGTCACAGTTCAGGACAGCTGAGCCTATATTTCCTCCTCTTGTGGTCTCTTAATGGCACCCACTCTCGGCTTCCATCTCCTCAGCTGTCATTTCTTCTGGGAAGACCTTCATCTCTCACCCTCCTGACAGGGAATTTTCTGATATCTGCAGTAAGCCAGACTGCCTAACTAGGCCAGCAACTGCATTTCGCTTTCTTTCTGAAGTCTCTGAATAGCAGTTATTGTAACTCTGGTCTTTATAAGCAAAAACATTTATTCTTAAGGGATATTGGTAAATATATATGGTATGTTTTTTTGAAGGAAGTGCTATCATTGGTGCTCTTAGTGAATCATTAATTATAAATTTCATGCCTTTCAAATCTGTTCATTAACTACAGCCTTCTAATAGTTGTATCTTAACATTTTTACCCAAGAATTTCCTTGTTATTTTGTGGCAGATATTTACAAATTGATATATGTAATATATAAATTGTTCAGAATTTTTTTTCTTAGATAACATTTTGCTATAATTATAGCTGTGCTGAAAAGTTGATGAATGTCACTTGTTGAACTGCAGTATAGTCTTTAAATCAAATCCTCTATAGTCTATAACCTGTTGAATCCAGGTGATGCAGTGGAGGGAGCTAACAAACTCTACCAGCACATCCGTATGCTAAACTGACAAAAATATAGTCTTCTAAAATGTAGCAAGTATTCAAAACTTAAACTAACTCCATAGCAAATAATTCTAAAATGTTTTGTCTGATATTATAAGAAATGGATCTATGCTTGCAATCTTATTCAAAGCTACTGAATGAAATAGATTTTCAAAACCTGAAACTCATCTTATTTTAACAAGTGCCATGTCTCAGAAATACTGACTTAACTGAACAATGTCTGCAAAATTTTTCTGGCTAATGATCAGTTGTGCAAAACCTGACTTTTTGGGCTAGTTGATTGTTTAGAGACTTTAAGGGGGTAACTGTCAAAATTGGACTAAAATGGAAAACAAGTTCTAATCCTATATACAGGGTTTCTTTGAAGTAGTACAGCTGTTAACTTCAAGTATATGTATTTAGAAAAGTGATGTTGTATATAAATTACACAGACTTCACGTTTTTGACGTTTTGTGATTAAAATGTTAAAAATCTATGCCAGTCATACAAAAAAGTCATTTTGTTAAGAATTCTTTATTCCATTAGGTAATGGACCTACTATTTCAACAATCCGTTCTTCATGCTTGGTGGGATGTGCGATCACACAAGATCACTCGGACTCCCTTGTTCAGGCAGCTGCAATATCATGCCTGCAACAGCTTCACATGTTTGCACCACGCCATGTCAACCTCTCCAGTCTGGTTCCCAGCCTTTGTGTAAGTGTAAATGATGTCTCTCTCATCCTATATCCCTGATGCTGGAAATGTCAGCATTAAGACCTGCAGAAAGTTAAGAGAAATGGATAGCAGCCTGTGAGGAAATATACGTGTGTGTTGAGAGGCAAAATTTTCAAAGGCACCCAGTAGCTTCCAATGTCAGAATCTCCATTGAAAATGAATTAAAGGACTTGTGCACCCAAGGCATTTAGGCATTTAAACTTTTATCCAAGATCTTTTTCTAATTTACCCCCAAAGTAACTTTATACTGTTCTGGATATGCAGAGGGGCAAGAAAGTGGGTTTAGATTACAGTTATGCTCACGTTAAATCCCTTTACTCTTCCAGAATGGTGTAAAGTGGCCTTAGTTCAAACAGAAATCAAGTCCTAGGGCTATTTAGCTTAGAAAGGAGAGGAATACACAATAACAAGTCCTAGGCATACAAAATAATGAATGGAAAAGAAGAGAGATTTGGGGGACCCCCTCTCATATGGCTGTTTAGAAAGGAAGTGTATGGGGGAAAGTGGCATTTCTCCTTCTACTATCAGAATCCTAGGCAGAGTCCGTGTCTTGCTGTTGTCCCTATGTTCATCCATTGATGCCCAGGTGAGTATTGCCACATGTATAAATAAATACTGCACCAGCACTCCTGCAAAATCCAACATTTGATCTTAAAAAAAAAAAAAAAACTATTTAAAAATTTAAAAAATAAATTGGAGTTAATCATACTTATGCTCAGACATTCAAAAATATGAGTTGCAAGGGAGAGACCCTTCCTTTAAGCCATTCCTGGCCACCCGTGTTCCAGATTCTTATAGACTTATTGAAGGACTGATCATGACAAATGGATTTTCAGGCCTGTTTATACTGAAACTGGAACTTCTTCTCTGTAATCTGCTGTCTAATCTTTCCTTAGAGGTTCCCCCACTTGCAGCACGTGTCCCTCTGTCTTGTGTAATCTGGTGCTCAGTTATTAAGTATGGTCCATAGTTTGAAACGTGTCTGCATGCACAGAATTCCAAGTGAGAGAAATATGGCTCAGCACAGTAGTAGGTGGGTCCTTCTGTTTCATATGAATAATAGACTAATGTGTGCCACATCCTGTGACAAATAATTTTCTCTGTTGATTCCATTCTTACTAGAACTCCCAGTTGGAATATTGTAGTCAGTGAAGTTATCTCAAGATGTAATGGTTTCTGATTGAAATCTTTTCCCATTCCATTCTCCTGTCTTTTCCTTGCTCCAGCATAACCTTCAACCTCTTAATTTTTCTTCCTTCCCTTTTGCTTTCAAAATCTGGTTCCCTCCATGATAAGCCTACCTGCAAATGGCTTTGTACATGCTCCCACAGCTGTTTACACAAATAAAATGTGGACATGGTGGCTGAATAGAGGACTAGCTGAAAATCTTACTCAATTAAATGAAGGAGAAAATAGTAAAAAGCTTTTTGTCTTCTGTTTGGAACCAACACTGTGTATCAAACTTACACCAGTCTCTTCCAGCATGCTTTTCAGATTCCTTTATGCCGCTGTACTACATTATTGTTAAAAAATGAAGAGCAGGAAATAATCTTTCCGATAATTAAAACACTAATGTTCTCTGGTTGTAGTTCTCTTGAAACAACTTCAGAATGATACTTACAGGGACCCTTAAAAGTCTGTTTTTCAAGATTGAACCCTTGAGACATCCATGGATGAAATAAAGGCCTAGTGTTAAATATTTATACACTGTGTGACCTTTCATTTGGGAAAGCAATTTCCATCCTCATAGCAAGTTAATACAGGGAAAGCAAATGTGTATTCAACTTATTAAAAAAATATTTCCCCGGGGTAACTCAAGATTAGAGTTTCTAAAAGAGCACTCTTTATCTCCTCCCTTGTGGAAAAACATACAATTCCCTGTACAGCTACTTCCTCTCAAGAAAAGTTGGAAGCTTGCAGAATTCTTTTGGAAGAAAAATATTTACTTGTACTTGAGATGGTTCAAAGCAGATTAAAAGCAAATGTTACTTAGCACAGAAATCTGAAAGCTCTCATATTGAGAAGCACTTACTGACATGTATGGTATAAACTGTGGTTTAGAGGTGAACATAGAAGGATTAATGACTGTTGTCATGAGTGATTTAAGTACTGCTGGTAGGCATTTTATTGAAAATTGTAATTTCTGTTTTTGGCAATACCGGATCCTAGTTTCCAGAGTTTCTAACCAGTGTTAAAGCATGATGTAAATTGATCTAGAACAGTGGTTCTCAACCTTTTGGGCTTAGCATCCATTTGTAAATGTTCATGGTCTGTCAGGACCCAGTAAATAGTCCAGGGGTAAAGATCTTGGAGTGGTTCAGTTAGGTCCTGCCCAGCACTCATGCCACAGTGGCAGCTCTTGCAGAGCCTGTGCTGTGGGGCTGGCTGGGCTGGGCTCTGCTTTTCACTCCAGGTATTGCAACTTCTGGGGTTATAGCACTGCTCAGCTTTGTCCCCTCACCTCTGACTAGACCAAATTTGTCTGAATGGAGTTGTGACCTGACTCATATGGTTTAAGAGTCACTTGCTCAAATTTGGCCTACCTGGACTCCTGTTGTCATGGTGGCTAGACCAAACCTGAGTGGTGCTGGGATCCCAGAGATTGCAATGCCCAGAGCAGTGACATGAGCCCAGCCAGCCACCTAGGATAGGAGATGCAGGAGCTGACCTGTGATCCTTTGAAACATCCTGAGTACCCAGTATTGGTTACTAACCCAAGGATTGAGAAATCCTGGACTAAAATCCAAATTGTATTCCCTGGGTTTCCAGTCTCAGTTGTTACCTCTTTTTAGCCAGATGGCTGCACCAGCTAGGGAAATATCAACTTTATTTTTAAGTGTATATGTTGTGAAAAGTTCTTGTCTGGGCACTTTTAGCCAAATTTTCAAAGGGTCCACCACCCAACAGGAGAAAGATGATCAAGATCTGTGTGCAAATGTAGTGAGTTTCTCTTACATGTTTTTGATAGGCAGAGGTTCATTTTTAAAAAGACATGATCATGAGTGAGTTTAATTTGCTGCACCCCTGTCAGTAAATAAAGGGACTCTACCAATTTTAATTCACATTGTCAGCTAATTGGCTTCTTGCATTTTTACTTTCTGTGCCAGATCAACACCACTTTGTAACTGTTTACATGATCTGTACTTGATTTAGCTGAGCAAGAGGCTATTATTAATCACTAACAAGTTTTATATAAAACCATGGCAATTTACCAGTTGAAAATGGCTCTGATTGCAGGTTCACTTGTGCAGTTCTCACTTACTGCTACGTCGGGCTGCAGTGGCATGTTTACGACAGCTGGCACAGAGGGAAGCAGCAGAAGTGTGTGAATATGCCATGAGCTTAGCAAAAAATGCTGGTGAGAGAGAGAACAGTGGCATCAGTGAGTGTTACTTGCATGTGTCCTTTCCTAATATTTTGTGTGTGCACAAAACCAAACCAAACCCTTTCTCCTTTGGAGTTTCTTGTCTTTTCCATATTTCCCACTAAAAGTAAAGATTGTAGCCCAGGCCTTTTAAACATTCAGAACAAATTAGAAATGGGAATTTCCCCCCAAATATATTGTTCTAAATTATTCCTCTCTCTTACCGTTGGTTCTTTTCTTTTAATTTTGCTGGTTTTGAAAATGGGCATGTTAGGGGAGGTAGCCACCCACTCCTCCTACCTCATAGTGCTTCTTATGGGGCCAAGAATGGCTGTGCAGGTGCTCTCTACCTTAGAATACAAATCACTGCTACTTGCTCAGAGTCAAGTGTTGTGTGCTATAACTTAACAGTCAGCCTAAAATAGCTGTATAAAAATAACAACCTCAGAATTTGTGCATCTGCGCCTTTGACCAGACAAAGAAACACAACTTCAAAGACAAGCTCTTTATTGTAGTGCTTGAGAACAAGGCCCAGACCAGGCCCACTCCCATCCTGCCACTATCCCTGAGAAACACAGGCAAGCCTTTTTAACTGATGTGCTGCCATCTGATTGATTAGGCTTTTTTAGGCCTTTGAAGACTTGTTGATAGCCTGATCTGTATGGGTTTTCTGTAAGCAGGGCCAGTTAGGGCCTCAGATCCTATAGCAGGGGGTAGAAAAGGCCTATTAGACCCCCATCACAAGGCATAATGATACTGTATACTGGGAACAGGTTTTGACTTGTTTTGTTAGCAGCATAACTAATAGCCAGTCACATTTCTCAGTTGCACCAATCCTTACATATATAATTTTATCCTGATGATATGGCTGCTAAAATGAGTAATGATTCCTGCTCACCTATTTGAATGGTCAGGAAAAAGTGCAATATCCAGAAGCCCTCTATAATAAGTATGTGGCTGTCTGCTGGTTGTTATATACTTAGTGTTTTTCAATTTTTAAAAAACTGAATCTGCTGTTACTGCCTTCTTTCAATCGATTATCAGATAAACAATTTTTCCACTCTATCATAGAATCATATGCCTTCTAGTATTGTGTGGCACAATTAAAACTTAACTCAGAAGAGATTCACCAGGGTCCATTACTGTGAGGTTCTGAGCATTTCATGCAAGGTATTGAGTGCTATCAATGTCTATTTATTTTAATGGTAGTTTACAGTATGTATCATTTCACGGGAGATGCTTGGTATCTCGTAGAATCTGATTTCTAATAAGCTTAATATGTTAAACTATCTTAGATTTTATTGACGACAAATTGTAGTAATGCCTTTGTGTCTGTGATCTGTGCAACTAAGAATGAATGCAGAATGTCCTTTTCTCATGTTGCTATTGCCCTAATTTCAAAGCACAAATGTTAAGAAATTGATTATTAGAAAACTAGTCTCTCATTTTACAGACATTAACCCTTTTGCACCAGTTGGTTCGCAGCGGGACATTCATTGCCGGCATCAAGGAGTTAACATAACAGAGACTGGCCTCGAGGGAGTTCTTTTTGGAATGTTAGATCGGGAGACTGATCGAAAGCTGTGTTCTGATATTCATGATACCTTGGGACATATGCTTTCATCCCTGGCAGTGGAAAAACTTTCACACTGGCTAATGTTATGTAAGGATGTCCTAGCAGCTTCCAGTGGTAAGTGTTTGACAACGTTCTTATAACAAGACATCATATCTTTAGAATTAATTTATTTAGATAACGTTCATTTAGAGCTTTTTATGTTGTAATGGGAGTCATGATCCATGCTCACTTTTATCACCTGTACCTTGGATGGTAATATTTTAATTTGCTCAGAAAGAGAAAATGGTAAATATGGTCAATTTAAATAGTCTATATACACACATACACACTTTGAAATAAATCTGTTACTGTATACATAGATAGTTCTTATAGGGTGAGCATTGCAATAAGTAACCCACTTTTCTGGCCTTTGCTTTTAGCAGTTGTCTAGCAACAATTCCGGTAACTTATAAGGCTGAACTATTACAATTCTTCTCCTTAAGAATGTAATGTCTACCTCAGTTTCTTCCTTTATTGCTGATAGCAAAGGAGTTTTCCTAATTTGCTCTCTGTGCCCCACACTACATTCACTTACATAATTTCACAATTTGTGATAAGAAATATTATTTGTTTATTTTAATTTCATTTGCATGCCTTCAATGATTTATTCTCTTATTTATTTTATTTACACTTAAACATGTTTTACTTTTTGAGACTGAATGAGCTTGGCACCTCATGGAGTCCTAGTTTGATTTTTTTTTTTTTTTTTTTTAAATTTTATACTGCTGGGCTAGCTCCTCAACTAGGTTACATGAGCTTTACTGATTTACATCGACTGAAGGATCTGTTTCACTGTATTCAGTTTTTGTTCTTTTTCTTCCTTAGTATTCAGGCTGTCAGAGAAGCAATCTAGGGGCCTTCAAAGGTATTCAAAGTGCAGTCATAAAGTGTGATTTGCAGACAGATATGATTGTTGCCTTTATTGGGCAAATCAGATGAAACCAGACTACATATGTAAGCGACTAGTCGACTAGTGAACTACCCGATAAGCATATACTTATTTGGGCAGTCAAGTAGTGACTCGACTAGTCGCTTCCCACCTCCCCTTGCTGCCTCTATCAGAATCAGCTGTCCTGGCTTGCAACTGGTTCCCACCCTGTGGCTTTTAAAAATTAGAGCCACAGCAGGGTTAGCTCCTGGGCTGAGGGATGACCTCACTGCAGCGCTACAGTTTCCCCCCCATATTGACTAATTGAGTAGCAGATGGAATTTCCATCGGCTACTCAATTAGCTGATTACCGTGTGTGTGTGTGTGTGTGTAGTAGTTCAATATTTGGGACACTTGGTGTTCATAGGAATCCAATATTCACATGTAGTGGTTACACACTGCAGCCTGGCTCCTGTCAATGTAGGTATCCTACTACATAGACATGATAACCTCACTTCCACAAGAGGTGTAGGGCTAATGTTAGGGTAATGCAGTGTCCCTATGAACATTGGTTTCCTTATATTGGCTGTTGGCTGTCATCCTTGTCAATTTCATGGCTCCATACTGGAGCTGTGAATTTGACAAGAAAACCAGGCAGTCACTGGAGCATCTGGGGGGGGTGTGATCCAGCTAATCCAGGGCACAGTCAGGCTCTCCCTGTTCCCAGCTGGGTTGATCCTGCTCTACTCAGAGCTTGGCTGCCTTCTTGCTCCCACCCCAGCTGCTCCCTGGACTCTCATGGCCATGGGATAAGAAGGAAGGTCCTTTCTTGGATTGAAAACTGGTTAAAAGACAGGAAACAAAGGGTAGGAATAAATGGTAAATTTTCAGATAGGAGAGGGGTAACTAGTGGTGTCCCCCAAGGGTCAGTCCTAGGACCAATCCTTTTCAACTTATTCATAAATGATCTGGAGAAAGGGGTAAGCAGTGAGGTAGTAAAGTTTGCAGATGATACAAAACTGTTTAGGATAGTCAAGACAGAAGCAGACTGTGAGGGACTCCAAGAAGATCTCACCAAACTGAGTGATTGAGCAACAAAATGGCAAATGAAATTTAATGTGGATAAGTGTAAAGTAATGCACATCGGGAAAAATAACCCCAACTATACGTACAGTATGATGGGGGCTAATTTGGCTACGACAAATCAGGAAAGAGATCTTGGAGTTATCGTGGACAGTTCTCTGAAAACTTCCACGCAGTGTGCAGCGGCGGTCAAAAAGGCAAATAGGATGCTAGGAATTAATAGGAAAGGGATAGAAAATAGGACCCAGAATATCTTACTGCCCCTGTATAAAACGATGGTACGCCCACATCTTGAATACTGTGTACAGATGTGGTCTCCTCACCTCAAAAAAGATATTTTGGTCTTGGAAAGGGTTCAGAAAAGGGCAACTAAAATGATTAGGGGTTTGGAACGGGTCCCATATGAAGAGAGGTTAAAGTGACTGGGACTTTTCAGTTTAGAGAAGAGGACACTGAGGGGGAATATGATAGAGGTATATAAAATCATGAGTGGTGTGGAGAGGGCCGATAAAGAAAAGTTATTTATTCGTTCCCTAAATAGAAGAACTAGAGGACACCAAATGAAATTAATGGGTAGCAGGTTTAAAACTAATAAAAGAAAGTTCTTCTTCACACAGCGTGTAGTCAACCTGTGGAACTCCTTGCCAGAGGAGGCTGTGAAGGGTAGGACTATAATAGAGTTTAAAGAGAAGCTAGATAATTTCATGGAGGTTAGGTCCATAAAAGGCTATTAGCCAGGGAATAAAATGGTGTCCTTGGCCTCTGTTTGTCAGAGGCTGGAGAGGTATGGCAGGAGACAAATCGCTTGATCATTGTCTTCGGTCCACCCTCTCTGGGGCACCTGGTGCTGGCCACTGTCGGCAGACAGGATACTGGGCTAGATGGACCTTTGGTCTGACCAAGTATGGCCGTTCTTATGTTCTTATGTTCTCCTGGTATGGCTGTCTCTGGCACCAGGAGCCTGTCTTTCTCCAGCTCGCCACTCGGAGCCTGGCTTCACACTCTCCACTGGTGGTAGCCTAGCTCTCAACTCCCTGCCACCAGATGCCTAGTTGCCCCTTGGGGCTCTGATCCTCACCACTGATGGGCTCCCAATGAGAGCTCCGTCCTTGTAGTCCAGGTGGCTCCTAGTGCAAATTGGGAGTCTTGGGGAAGCTGCAAAATGTGTGCAGCCCCTGGGCTCTCAGCAG